AAACGAAAGCGCAGTATGATTACAGGGGTGCACCAGATTTTGAATGGACAATACAAGCGCAGTTGTGTACCAGTTTTTCGAACTGACGTATAGGCACAGTAGTGTAACAGAAATTTTATTATACTATTTTTTCTGTAACAGTATGATATTTCTTCTCAAAGCATACGTTGCTTTTTTACACGCTGAATTCGAGATCCTCATTGTGCCAGCGAAAAGTCGTGAATTTCAATTGTATCCTTTTGGTTTTCGCAACTTTCAGACCGACTTTTATGAGCCATAATCACTATTTTAATAGATAATGGAGCATTATATTAACAAGTTTAGATATCCATAAAATTCTGTGACAGATAAACAGCATGTTTCTTCCCTCTATAAACATGCATTCCTGTTGAGAATGTGAGGGTGCGGTTCCGCCTAGTCTCCCATCCTATTCGAGTTACTGTTTTTCATTATGCATGCATTCACGTTTTTTACTATCATTTATTACTTTTCTGTCCATCGTGATTCGTATGATCATCCTTTCAAAATTGTGCTTACAATTTAAATGACCTTGAAGATAACTTGAAGAAACCTGTAAAATCGTGGTATTTGGAACTTTATCGAAGCAATTTTGGTTTGCAACTATTTTTCTGATTGTTATTATTCTCATTAGCCAGCATTTTCCTATCTTCTTGTGGTAGTCTAAGAACATCATGATCGTCCTTCGTCTCATCTTATTGATTTTCGCCTTAAATGCTTCTCCTTTCGTTTAGAACCGACTGATCGCTTCTCATTTAACGGGCGCTAAATTAAAAATTGGTTGGGTATTGAACGAACTATGACGTATTTTGTGATAAAGAATAATATTAATGATATGGTTAAATAAAATAAACACTTAATTTCACAACTTATAAAACAATAAATGTTTGATGAGTGCTCATTTCGACATACGTTCCTTATGAAGGAAGTACACAAACATTTCCACGTTAAATTGAAATGCAACGGTACCATATAATGCTAATTGCTCGAATGAAAGCAGGTAGCGCGCTAGATTTTTGGTGGACAAATCACGCTTGATATCATATTTTGGTGAAGTATCATATCAAACTTCTTGTAGCCTACCAGAAATTTCTGGTAGAACGACATGTTTAACGAAACTGTTTGTAGATATGTGGAGACTTTGACCTATCGTTATACCAGTGGTTAAGAAAATTACCTTGGGAGAGGATAAAGCTGGGAAGTGTCAGAGGGAACTAAGGATATTGCCGATCGATTTTTTTTCATAATTCTGAGATAAATGTTTAACGACAATTTCAAAATGCTTTCAAAGTCTGACCAAAAGGAACTATTTCTTTGACAAGAACAATTAATTCATGGCAACAACATGATTAATGAATCAATTCCTTGACTTCATTTTAAGAGGTAATAGACTGTCAGGGGAGGGGAAACTGTATTCACTTAGATTGTTGAAAGGGAGGAATGGCGATCTCTCATACAAGGCACGGAGTACAAGATCATAACAACCACAGTATTGAATTTATAATCAGGTTGAAAAAGAAACAATTTTAATGGCTAATAAATAAACTATTTATTTTTACTTCCTAAAAATGGAAGACTGTAAACCATTAAAAAAGAATTGTTCTTCATGATGGGAAAAAACGGTAATAAAAATGAATGCACATGTATACTGCAAACAGTTCTTATTACATTTGAGCGCATCCTTTTCAATCTCTACCTCAAATGGAATTCAATTTCATTTAGCTATGAACCGTCAACGAAAGAGCAATCTTCATGCTAGCCCAAATTAAATAAAAAAAACATATTTCTTGAAAATGCAAGCAAAATTTGTCACCAAAATACTAATCGCAATAACTTTTTTTTGGAAGCACTTGCCTGCTTTAACATAAATTTTCATGTTCTCTTCAATTCTTAATTTTATACTCAACTTTAGCTTAGTAGCGATCTCAAAATTATTGCAGTTTTATTGCACATTCAATAATTACGAAGCTGGCTTCACTCATGGTTTGACGTTTCGAGAAGTTAAGGAAAGAGTGACTGCAAATTAAGTTTAGGTTGCAGGAAAAGAAAAAAAAAAGAAAAATCAAAGGAAAATACCCGTTCGTGGATGGCACGATCGTTGTGTTGTGCGTTTTCATCCCAGCAATAGCGAGCTTCACATCTACAGAAAAAGCCATAAAAATTAAAATTGTAGCAGAGGTAAATCTACTCTGATTTAAAAAACGAAATGCAATCCTAATCTCCCAACATTCAAAACGTCTATTAACAAAGCTTCACGCGCATAAGGTTACCTAAAAATAAGTGACAAAGAAAATTAATGCATAAAATGCTCCACTGAAAGAAGATCAATTGAACGGGAGTAACGGAATCGATAGGGGAAAAAACGAAAGCAATCAGCCCAATCGACCGTTCTACTATGTTTGAAAAATAACACTTAAGATTTGCTGAAAAAATTGACAAACAAAAATTTTCGTCGAAAAATCGTTAAACGTGGGTTGATTAAAAAGTAATTACTGTGGCTTGTAAGTGGTGTTTCGTCAAAATAAAGGCAATTAAACAATATCATTTGCGTTTTTGCATCGGGCGACACTTTTCGAACAATCTTTAATGCAGACGAATAGATAGAAAAGAGATATTTACAAAATATGATGTTGTGCACAAGCATTGCAGCGCAAATTGAAATGGGCAGTAATTTAAGACATTAATGAAAAATGTCTTGACAATGAACGGCTAAACAACAATCAAATTTTGTGATTGGTTTCTCAACATAGAAACAATGTGCAATTAAACAATCACAACCATCTACTAATATGAAGGCGGTGGAACTGCTGTAGTGTGAAAGTGAAATGAAAAGCTTTACATTAGCTAAAACTAGAACATACAATCCTTAAAAAAGAACAAAAAGAAAAGATAAACGCAATAACGAAAAAGATGAGCAAGCCAAAGAATCAATCAGAAATTCTAACTTTTTTCCAAAAGTTGACTGAAAGAATGCAAAGGAGTGCTTCATGAAGAGCAGAATTCGTAGTTTCAGCAGCATGTGCCCTACATCTCTGTTCCATTGCAAACGCATTTATATGTAAACGAGTACCTTTACGTAGCACACGAAATGCGTTCGAAAATGCTGTGCGTTTACTTGAATCTATCCATAAATGAATCAAGAAAGAGTACTTCAAAAAACGACATAAAATCTCATCATAAAAGCAAGAAAATGACAACTGCAATATACCACAAGACAGATGTATTGAAGCAGTCAGCAAAAATCGCATAATTAATGACAGTGATCCGTCAAAATGATTTGTACTCGTTTAGTTATCGATCGAGATTCATTGAACTCAAATTCTTGACGCATTATACGACGTCAAAACCATTCATATTTCTCAGTTTAAATCTCGTATCATATCGCATTCGATCGAATATTTTACGAAGGCAATAAAATATCGGGATATATCTTCAAAGAGAAATGTCACGATTGATTATGCTGAAAACCAAAGCGTCAATTTTTCTAAATTTCTGAGAACAACTTGTCGTATATTTACTAGCATCTACTGATAGCTTAACAGGTAATTTTGCACGTCATCCATGACGATGAGAATACGAAAAAGAAGGAGGACAAATAATGATCTTGTCCGCGTAAATTATAACACGGAACCAATAAAGCAACAAAAAGCAATAATAATTTCCAACAATCATAGTATTTGTTGAGCATAAGAACGTCGATTTTTGATATACATAATTGATATTCAAATACGGTAATATTTACTTCTTTACTGCTGAATAGAAAACCCGCACAAGCAATAAAGGCGGAACAATGTACGTTTGTTTCTACTTTTATAAAACATAACTGAAGTGTACAGACTCCCAAAAGACATCGAATGCTAACGACGTCACAAAGATTCACTAAAATAACGCATAACAAATCGTTGCGCGTTCCCTTCTTTGTGACGAAACATTTGAAAATCTATGGATCTATTATTGAAGGTTTTCGGCAAGATCTGCCAAAAAGTAGATGTATACATAATACTGCTAACAAAAACCCTGAATCATATTAACATTCATACTTGTATGGAAAGTACGATGATACAAACTGCACTGCAGAAAACTCTTCTGATGAAGTTCGGTGTTCATTCACTATCAGCAGCATATTAGCTTAATTTTAATTCTCTCGAGAATTCAAGAATACTTCAGTTCGAATATTGATCGTTTATACATAGTATTTTACAAACTTAACGATTGTAACTGTCCTTTCTTAAACATACATTCAGTGAGCACAATAGAACAATTATAACAAATATATCACTTGGTGAATTATTTTGTTTTGTTCCACCATAGTGTGAATTAAATGGGTAAGTTTTGCACCAAAAATTACATTTGAAAACAATAACCCGATTTTTCAACAAAAGAATAAACTGATGAAACAGTGCTGAATGATTTTTCAGTTGAACCTTATTTTATGAGGCGCACGGTAAGAAAACAAAAATCAATTCAAGGAAAAGCGAAAGATGTCGAAGCGCAAAGGCGTACGACCTTAAAATTTTACTACTCTTACTGAATGTTAAATGCTATAAGGCAGTGGTCCCCACGCTCAGATGCTCCATTACCTCCTTCGATGATCTGGCAGGTTGTCATTATCCTACCTCCTTTCGTTATAATAATTTATTATTTCCACGCATAACGTCAGAACTAATTCCCTGATCCCCTCCATTACCCTCTTGACACCCACAAATTACTCAAAAATGGATAACTTCCCTCCTATAGGAACCCTTGCTGTAAGGAATTGATGAAAATGAAAAGAGGAAAGCTCAAAAATGAAGATCCTACAGTTATCGCTGCACAATCTTATTATCTTATCAATGAATCATCATATACGATATTCTACCTGAAAAATGCGACAACACCGACATAACAAAATTTTTTTCTTCACGTGAAACAACAGCTTCGCCGCGGGTATTTCACATATTGTGCAATCAATCAGCCAAAATGAACAATTCGTTATATGCGTAAACGATGTTCAGGGTAAGACGACGGATAAAATGACCATTGATCAGATGCAAAGATAGCCAGTATATGCCTGAGAATATAGTTAGCTTACCAAGAATAGAACCATTCCAGTTGTAACCGTTCAGTACACTGACCGCAAGATCTGCCTCATTTGGGTTAGCATATTGAATAAATGCATACCCTTTGAAAAGTGTTACACCCAATAGTGTACCGTAACCACTAAATAAACGAATTATATCATCACGAGTAATTGCATTCGTATTCATATTGCCAACAAAAACTCGCGCTCTGAAATTGCTCCATTTAACCACCGGGTAATTATAAATATCAATCCATGGTATACATATATAAAGAAAGATATATTTGTGGAAAGACGTCATTTCGCAATCAGTATTTATTCAGAGTTGAATTATTAGTGAAAGCTCATCAATTATTGAAGAAAGTTTAATTTTTAGGGAACATCGACAGCAAATACGCTAAAAATATTACTTGGGAGGTATTTTGGTTGCGAACTGATGAATAAATATCTCTTATGCTATTCTTCAGAACTAGATCAGTTAATTTTCTAACAACTAATTTCATAAAAACTATAATCCAGTAATGATGCTGCGATTCATTTGGAATTTTTTAGCACAAAAAACGTAAAGATGATATCTTATAAAGCATATTACCTGATCAAATGTGGCTCTTTTGAGCTAGTATCAAAACTGATTTCACGCTGCTTCAACGGCTGTGGATTTCCACCGAAAACACTACCATGCCTGAAATTCACAAACCGCTCGAACTTTCGCGATAACTATTTTGAAAATTAATCTATAAAAAGAAAAATTAACATTCAAACTAGAAATAACAAAAATAACAATGGTAGTGGAGCGTAGAAAAAATATGGATCATACAAAATCTAAGAGCAAATAGCCTCAATCTCTTGCCAACTTATTTGTTGACAGTTGTTCAACTTAAAAAATTTAATTTTAGATATGAAGAGAAATTGTATTTATTTGAAATAGAAGATGAAATTCGAAAATTCAACAATAAAATACGCGAGCTGAATTTATTTGCAAAACAAATGAGGTGAATACACTGCGAATAGCGATCGTTTCATGGTGAATTCTCGGAAAAAAGGCAATGAAATACTCCTCGTTCAGATGGCTATCTGGATACTGGGTTGTGACAAATAAATTACTAATCTGATAGAGAACGAAACTGGAAGCAACTTAAAAGAAAAGTCAAACAGTAGAAATAGTTAATGTGAGTATTTTCAAATAATTAGTATTAACAAGACTGAATTAATGTTAGCTTGAACACAATAATATATGATACTATATAT